GGAGGTGGGAGGCCAGTTCTTGACCTGTGGTGCTCGGTGCTGGCTTCCCGTCCCCCTCCCTGGTGCGTGTCCAGGCCACGCACGTGCAGACACACACACACTGGTACACACCAGAGACGCAGACCCAGGCTTGGACTGCGGCCAGCCTCCTGGGCCCCACCTCCACCTTGTTTCTCGACTCTGCCGTCCACCTGGGTGTCTCGCCTTCTCACCAGCCTGCTTCCCTCTCCTCCTCACATACCCCCAGAAACTCTGCTCAGAATCCAAGTCGCCTGGGCTCTGTGCAGGGCCGTGGTGGGTTATGTGAAACAGTTGCAGGCCCTTACAGATGCTGTGCCCTTGAGTCAGGCCCTAAGCTTCTGTGAGCAGGGGCTTCCTCACCCCATTCTCATAAAACAGGGCTAATAAAAGTACCTGCTTAAAATGAAATGAGGCAAGTTATACAAAGTGCTAAACACAGTCAACATGGCGCTCGATCTCCGTGGGTTTTCCCTACATTAGCATTGATTATGTACAGTGCTGAGAACATTGCCTGGCATGCAGCAAGTGCTATGGAAGTGTGCTGTCACCGTCATCATCACCATCATTGTCGTTGTCATGAGTATTCCTGGTTCGGAATTTCTCGGCCAATTTTACATCAATTCTTGTTCAAGACTCCAGATACTCTTTTATCCCACGATAATTATGGTGGTGGTGATGATGATGATGACAAAAGGAAGTTTTTTTTTCCTTTCCATTTTCCTAGATTCCTTGTCAGGAGGGCAAACATGGTCAATGTCATTCTTGAGCTTCTCGATAGAGGTGGGCCTGCCCATTTGGAGGCTGGGGTTGGGGTGGCCGCATTCTCTACCTAACACAGGGAGAGGATTTGGAATGCCTGGGAGCCTGGTGGGAACCCATGAGACAGATGACCCTGGTTGTGGGCCCACAGGACCCTCCTCTGGGACTCTAAGTCATCAGAAAAGCTCACAGAATACTTAGTGTGAGTGGGCGCCTTGCAAGGGCCTGGACACACTGGATTTCACTTTGTGCTGGCTCAGTGCCTGGTGCAGACAGGAAATGTGAATGTAGCGGCTGGAAGCAAAGAGGGCCGAGGGGATGTCACCTTTCCCTCCACGCCCTACCCTGGGACTAGCAGAAACTATGGGGAAACTTGAGAACTCCCCCAGGCTGTGGAGAGCAGTGGGGAGTAGAGGATGGAACTCTCCCAGGTCAAAGGCAGGGACTCTGAGATACACCAGGACGTTGGCGTTCAGGGCTTACTGTGTCCTGGGCACTGGGTGTGTTGCTGATGGGGTAGTTTTTGGGGGCCAGAGCCCATGAGCTTAAATCTTAGCATCTCTACCCAGTAGTTGTCAGATCTTGGGCAAGTTGCTTAACCTCTTTGTGCCTCAGCTTTCTCACCTATAAAATGGGGACTCAGCTGGGTGCTGCGGCTGATGCCTGTAATCCTAGCACTTTGGGAGGTGGAGGAAAGAGGGTTGCCTGAGCCCAGGGGTTCAAGACCAGCCTGGGCAACTTGGTGAGACCTTGTCTCTACATTAAATCAAAAAATTAGCTGGGCTTGGTGGTGTGCACCCGTAGTTTCAGTTACTTGGAAGGCTGAGGCGGAAGGATCGCCGGAGCCCAGCAGGTCGAGGCTGCGGTAGCTGTGAGCATGCCACTGCACTCCAGCCTGGGTGGCAGAGTAAGGCTTCTATGCGATAAGTAAATAAATAAATAGTAGAGAAGTAAAATGGGGGGTTACCTCCTTGGGTTGTTGTGTTAATTAAATGTGTTCATTCCTGTGAAGTGCTTAGAGCATGCAAGAAATGCTCAGAGGGTGTCAGATATTGCTATTGCATTTTATTCTCACTACAACCCCACGGAGTAGGTGTTCTGAGTGTGTGCACTTTATGGACAGAAATACAGAGCCACAGAGAGGGTAAATAACTTTTCTAGAGTCACACAGCAGGGCAAGGGTAGAGTCGAATGCTTAGAAGGTGACTCTGAATAAATAATGTTCCTTATTTCTGGCAATATCTTTGACTCTGTGTGACTTTGGGCAAGTCATTTCCCATGTGTGGGGTCTGGCAAGACGTTCAAAGGGTCTGTGACTTCATGTCGATGTATCCCTCTGGACATGTCATCTCTCAGTAACCTCCTTCTTGGCAGGGCCAGAATCTGTCAAGGCAACCAGTGCCTGTGGAAGGAACAGACTTGGAGTCAAGGGACCTGTGTTGCCCCAGTTCTGTTCAGACCAGTTGAGAGACCTTGAACCAGTTACTTAATTCCTCTGGGTCTCACTCTCTCCCATAGAGATGGCAACAACCAACCTCGCAAGGTTTGGGACCCTGTATGTGTGGGACAGGCACATGTGGGGGAGAGAGCTGACTGCATATCTCCACAGTGGCCCCCAAGTTACCATGCCCATTGGTGGCATGACTACTGGGGTCAAAGGTTAAGAGTCCCACAGGGGATGAGCTGAGGTTTCCAAATATCCCCCCAACTTGTGCCTGCTACACTCACCCCACACCCCACCACTGGCCACCTTCGGTAGACTTTAAGACTCAAGTTGAGCAGATCACCAAGTTCCCTCGCCTGGCCTTCAAGTTCTGTCCAGAATCATCTCCAGTCAGACCTTCCCGTCTCACATCCACCACACTTCCACCCTGAGATCCAGCCCCTGGGACCACACACCCTTCCTGGGCTGCCACAGGCTTCTTGCTTTCCCCCACACTTCCACCCCTCGCAGATGCTGTCTCCACTTGCAGTGCTCCTGCTTTCTTGGCCAGCTCACATCTCATATTCATTCTTCAAGATTCAGTTGAAGTCACTTCCTCTGGGAAGCCCTCCAGGCATCTTTCTTCAAAGTTTCCAGGACCTGTTCTGCCAATTCTGTGACAATTCTTACCAAACACCTTATTATTGGCTGTTTCTGCTCCCTACCCTTCCTCCTTCCCCCAGTTAGGCCTTGAGCTATTGGAAGGCAGGAACTGCTTATCAGCTGTGTAGCCTCAGGCAGGCCACTACTCTTTGAACTTCAATATCTCCACCTGTGAACTGGGGCTGGCAGTACCCGACTGAGAACTCATCCAGGTAAGGCATTCAGGACACATTGGCCGTTTCTGGATATACCACAGGGGACCTTGGCACATGTGGAGGGAGTGAATGGGAGCTGCCTGTGGGGGGGAGTGTCAAAAGAAAAGGCCAGTGAGGATTTACTGAGCCCTTTCCACATGTCAGGAAGGCACTGAGATCACAACTGCACGTTCACGATCTCTTTAAGCATTTTTTTTTTTTTTTGAGTTGGAGTCTCACTCCGTTGTCCAGGCTGGAGTGCAGTGGCACACTCACGGCCACCCCAGCGCCGACCTGCTGGGCTCCGAGATCCTTCCGCCTCAGCCTTCCAAGTAGCCGGAACGACGGGTATATGCTACCACGCCCGACTGACTTTTGATTTATTGTAGAGACGAGGTCTCGCCAAGTTGCCCAGGCTGGTCTGGAACCTGCGGGCTCAGGAAATCCACTCGCCTAAGCCTCCCAAAGTGCTGGGATTACAGGCTGAGCCACTGAGCTCAGCCTCCTTTAAGCCTTTTAACACACTTTAAGGAGGAGACTGTCATCACCATTTTACAGATAAAGAAACTGAGGCTTCCGCAGTGGGGGACCTTGATGAAGAATACCCAGCCAGTAGGAGTGGAATTCAGGGCAAATTAATGTGGAATAAATCCCTTGGGGGTGGGGAGAGGATGAGGTGGTAGGACTAAGAGCCTGTGTCTCACTATCCTATGGTTTAGAGCTGAAAGCTCAGGTCCTTCACCTGCGGCCCATGATGGGAAGACTGATGGATTCCCAGGCCAGACAAGATCTCCAGCAGGTCAAGATCTCCTGACCCCTCTGTCTCCTGCCAACCCTTCTGCCCCAGTCGAGTCCTGGAGCTGCCCAGCTTGTCCTCTCTCGGCACTGCTGCTATTTCAGTGTGGCTTGAGACTCAAGGGGACCCCAGGTCACTGGGGGCATCCCTGTCCCCCACTGTCAGGAAAAGAGGGAGGGCACCTGGAGCAAGGGAGTACGCTCAGGCCTGGGAAGCAGACACACTGGGCTTCTAAGAACAACAAAGATAAGAATAGTAACAAAGGCTAACATTTATTGAACACCTACTATGTGCTAGGCACTGTCCTAACCACTTGACACCTGTGAACCCTTTTTATCCTCACAACTCTCCGAGGTAGGTTCTGTTATTAAGCCCATTTGACAGATGAGGAAACTGGGGCCCAGAGAAGTGAGATGACTTGCCCACGGCCAGGCAGCAGGTCAGCGCCCGAGGCGCCAACATTCACTAGCGAGGTGTCCTTGGGCAGGTCACAGCCACTTCTCTGGGGGGCTTTCCCCTTCTGTTTGGTGCAGGACCCCACCTCAGGTTCAGTCTTAGACGACTAAGATGGTTGGTCTCTGTACAGCGTCCCAGCACACAGTAGGTGCTTAGTAAATGAACAGCCCTTCCTTCCTCTTAACTCTGATGGGGGAAACCTGGAGTGAGGGCAGCGTCCTGGCTCCGGCGTTCTCCCCCAGGCCAGGCCCGAGTAACCCGCCCCTTCCCGAAGCAGCAACGCCACCCCACGCCCCCCTCCAACCCCAGAGCCACGCAGTGCCCGGTCTCGCCTCAGTTTTAATGACGTCGGTCAGAATCCCGCAGCTCTGGGCCCCAAAGCTGCGCCCCCAGAGGAGGAGGGCCGCAGGGTCC